ACCACGAGTAGCCCCTGCTTGCTGCAACTAGGGAAAGCCCACGTGCAGCAACAAAGACCCATGGCAGCCAAAAATAGTTAATTAATTTTTTAAAAAGATCATTGCACTGGATGGAAAAGAACACCATTTTCATATGTAGCTCCAGATAAATGAGTTACTAGTGATGAAAACAACTTAAAATTTTAATTTTTTCTTATAATTGAAGGTACAGTGGTAAAATGCATATATAGGCACTTATATAAAAACTTGAAGCTACCTGAGGTTTCTTGTATACCCTTCACAAGTCATAGAAAATGTCAGAGGAAATATTACAATGTAACTATTATACCAGTTAGAACTTTACAGGTGCAAAATTATAAAAATGTATGATTGACATTTAAAATTAAATTCATATCTAAATAAAACTGATCTGTAGAAATAATTAAATGTTTTTATAAAAATTATTCCACAGTCATTAGCTCTACCTGTGTTAAAATTTGTATTTTGAAATAATCCGTCAAAAATTTATTCCAGTTATACACTCTATCATAGTCACTTTGAGTCGTGTCCAACTGTCTGCGACCCCATGGACTGTATCCCGCCAGGCTCCTCTGTCCACGGGATTCTCCAGGTAAGAATAACGGAGTGGGATGCCATTAGAGTACCCTTAAAAGCTCCAGTATCGTTTATATCAGAAGAAATATCCTCCTTAAAATTAAAAATTATCAAAAATTATTTGCAATTCAGGCATTTGCTCAGAGTCACTGAGATCGCTTTTAGTTATATCAATTAAAAAATGACATTGTTAAAAATACACATTTTGAAGGCCTATGAAATGAATTTGTAGGGAAGCAAGCCAGAGAAATTATATCATCAATCAAGATATCACATTAATAAAGTATTATTTATTGTATTGTATAAATTAAACACCAAAAAAATTTTTGCAGTTTGTAAGATTAGTGTTATTTATTCATCTATTACTATAACCCCTATTGTATTTTGTAAGCAATCCAATATTTCTTAATGAAAACCTTTGTATCTCACCATCTTCAGTGGCACTTTTTTCCTGTTATTTTAACAAAGGGCCCCACGGATTGTTACCAGCCGTGTCTGCTACAGAGAGCTTTTCTGCCCCAGCCACTCAGTCGTGTCCGACTCTTTGTGACCCCATGGATGGAAGACTGCCAGGCTCCTCTGTCCATGGGATTCTCCAGGCAAGAATACTGGAGTAGGTTGCCATTTCCTACTCCAGGGGATCTTCCTGACCAGGGATTGAACCCACGTCTCTTGCATCTCCTGCATCCGCAGGTGGATTCTTTACCACTGTGCCACCTAGGAAGCCCTATCTGCTCCAGCCTCTACCCAAATCTGATATCCTTTCCTGTCACCCTGCATTCGGGCTAGAGCAATACGCCGAGATAGAATGGGTTGTGTATGAATACCAAAAGGCCTACCAAGCAATGTGCCTCCACCCGCCCCCTGCCCGGCTTTTTTTTTTTTTTTTTTTTCAGCAAGTAGAAGCAGTGGACAGTTTTTACTTTGGAGGCAATGTCCTGACACAACCCTGGACCCCTAAGATCCTTTACTGAGTGCCAAGTCCCTGAATTTTCATAGGGTCTCTCTCCTATCCTCAGGAGCTGTGTCACATGAAAGATTCCAGCCTGTTATCTGCCTCTTGTTCATCTTACCTGATCAGCATGATATCATCAATGTAATGGATGGATAGATGTTCTGCAGGCTGCCCAGATCTGCTTAAACTCTATTATGACATATGGTTATAATAGGTGTTTTAACACCCTGATCAACTAATTCATTCATCTTGTCATTTATTATCTCTTTTTACTAACTGATTTATCTTTTGGTTATGGGTCACATTCTCCTTTTGAGGGGGCCTGTGTAGTACTTATTTTTTATTGGATCTAGGCCCTTGTAAATTTTATATTGTGTGTCTAGATTTTGTTGCCTTCCTTTAGAGTATGGGGCCTTGTGTTGGAGGGCAAAATTGTTTCTTGCAGATCAGGTTGGTATTTTGAGACTTGTATTCTAACTTGCTTATTGTAGGCATACAGTACTTTTTCATTCATGATAGTTTAGCTCTGTTACAAAAGTGTAACTTTTCTGTATTCTCCACTGAAGGCTCCTTGTGATCAAGAAAGACTTTCCCTTCTAGATGGTCGGATTGCAAACATTTCCAACTCCTCTCAGAATTATTACATCTCCCTGGTCATTCATTGCCTTAGCAAACATTTCCAACTCCTCTCAGAATTATTACATCTCCCTGGTCATTCATTGCCTTAGGTAGTACTGCCTTCACTCTAGGCATGTGCATCTTACTGTTCAACAATGTCTCACAAAGATATCTTTGCAGATTTATATATCTTTGCACCTACATAGCTTCCTCCTCTTTGGAACATTGCCCCAAGTTCTAGCTATTTCAGCCCCCCTCAACTGAACCTTTCTCCTTTCAATTCAACTTTATTCTACATGTTATCTTTTTTCTGGCTCCCTGGTTCAGAATGTGCCTCCCCTGTTGAAAACTGGGGCAATTGTTTATTTTCCTTCACACATAGATTACAATCTTGCATTGACTCTTGTCCATTGTGTGAAAGTATACATTTTGTCCTGTTTTCTACTTGTTCAGAGCAGGAGGGTTAATCTGGCCCTGTTTCTCTTTCATGGCCAGAGGCTGGAATTTTGAGGTTATTAAAAGTGAAACAGGTTATGATAAAAGATGGTGTTGTACCTAAAAAATTTCATGGAAATTTTTCAGTAGCTGGATTTTATACATTTTGGTTTAAACTCTTGGGGAAAATGACAAAATGAATAAGTATGACTTATTTTATCCAAAAAATTTATGAAAAATTAATTGAAGTGATGGGAAAATGCTTTCTTAAAAGTGGTAAGTCATGGGACTTCCCAGTGGTCCAGTGGTTACGAACCTGCCTTCCAGGGCTTCCCTGGTGGCTCAGTGGTAACGAATCCACCTGATGATGCAGAAGACATGGGTTCTATCCCTGGTCCGGGAAGATCCCACATGCCTCCACGCAAGTAAGCCCATGTGCCACAGCTATTAAGCCGGTGCTCTAGAGCCTGGGAATCACAATTACTGAGCCACTGAGCTGCAGCTACTGAAGCCCACATGCCCTAAAGCCTGTGCTCAGCAAAAAGAGAAGTCACTTCAATGAAAAACTAGCAACTAGAAAGTAGCCCCCACTCACCACAACTAGAGAAAAGCCCATGTGGCAGCGAAGACCCAGCACAGCCAATAAATAAATAAGTAAATAAAATTATTTTTTAAAAAAGAAAATTCTACCACCCAGTGCAGGGGACAAGGGTTGAATACCTGTTGACAAAACTAGGAACCCACATGCTGTGGGGCGATGAAGCCTATGTGCCACAACTAAGAGCTAACAGCAAAAATAAATAATTTTGTTTTCTAAAGTGATAAGTCAAATTCATGACCAGACACCAAATAATAACATTACATATTCTGTTCAGGATGTGACAAATACTGATCAGTTGTCAATTATTGTGCACTACTCTTCTAATAGGAAACCCTATTAATAAGTTTTAATTTTTTTAGCCAACTGAAAACATTTATGAAACTTTAAAGTTAGGCAAGATTTGGGATATTTTAACATGCAGTTGAGCAATATTTACAATCAGTCATATGTCAGCACAGCTGTTAGCATGATTAAGCCAAAAGGCTGCCAGTTCTTTAAAGACAACTTTACAGAACAAGAGCCATGCAAAACTCCTTAGCTTATTTTTGTGAGAGGAAAGGCTGCCTTCAAAGTACTTGACATTGTTAACTACTTCAATAATGTGGAACATCTGTGTGTTTTATTTTCAGGTTCAACTACTATATGGAATATTTTAAACACATATACCATTGGGAATTTTTCTTTGAAGAGTCTAAGTACAGTAAAAGGTCTGCACTTTACAAAGGTGTTCAACCCTTACAACATAAGGCTCAACGAAAATGGACTCTGAAGTGTATTTGCAATGATAGAAGACAAACCAGAATACCCAGGAGATGTAATAACATTATCCAACCCATTGGAAAAACTCAAATATAACATTTTAATTGCAATTTTAGAAAGACATTTTGGAATGCTTCGATGAAACAACTGATAAATTATAGACTCCTGATGTGGATATATATATATATATAATAGTAGGTACCTTCTTTCATCATCCTTAGATTTACTGATTTAAAGCACTGAGATAAAATTGAGATTAAAAATTAATGAAGATGATATCAAAGTGATAAAGATGAGTGAGAAAATCAAGCGAAATTATTTTGACACTGAGAAGTGAGTAGTGATCATCTTTTTTTCAGATCGTAACAAAGACAGTAACTCATTAAGAGGAAGAGACAAATTGCAAATAAAAGTAATAAATACACTCTTGAATCATTTGATAATCAATTGGTAAGGAGAAGTGAGTCATATAAATTCATTTTAAAATATTTAAATTTTTTTCTGATTTGACTTCAAACTAACATCAATGAAGATGATCTAAACTCAAAACAGGTGATTACAGTGAGTGCACTGATCACTAAATTAGTGCTGTCAATTCAAAGAATATCTAAGATTAGTAACTGTGCAGGAAAATGTGAAATGCTTCTGAAATTTCACACACACATACACATTCACACACAAACAATGAACTACGAAGATGAAAATATTTTTTCTGAGATATTAATGAAAAACAAATATTGATCAACCATGCTAGAGAAAAAATAAATTATCTTTATATTATCTCTATAGAAAATATTACAAGCCATTGTCATATCAAGAGATAAAGACCCCATAAAAATTGGGGGAAAAGTTTGGAGAGAAATGTCTGACAGTTAACTAATAAAATATTTCATTATTTTAAAATTTGCATTATTCATAATATTTTTCAACTTTTAGTAATTTATAATATTACTATTTCTTTCCTCAGTCTGGTGTTAGTTGCTCAGTTGTGTCTGACTCTTTGTGACCCCACGCACTGTAGGCCGCCAGACTCTGTCCATGGGTTTCTCCAGGCAAGAATACTTAAGTAGATTGCCATTCCCTTCTCCAGAGGATCTTTCCAACCCAGAAATCGAACACAGGGCTCCTATATTGCAGGCAGATTCTTTACCGTCTGAGCTACAGGGAAGTCCCCTTACTTATTTTCTCAGTCTAGATATAACTTTTGTGTTTATAATTGCTATTCTTTTGCTTAAGGAGCCCCCCAAATTGTATATGAGCTTCAGGTCACATAAAATCTGTTTTTGCCTCTGTCATCATCATCTTCTCCATCTAACTGATCCACCTTTATGCATTCTTGACCTCTTCTAATCTGTACACCATGCCACAGCCAAAAGGATCTTATACAAATTTATGTATGACTGTTTTTCTCCTCTACTCTTCCAGTCAGTTCCCATTAGCCTTAGGCTAAAGACCAAAATCTTCAACAAAGGGTCTGGACCCTGCCTACTTCTCCCTCAGCTACAACCGTGCTGGCTTCTTTAAGTTATTTGAATGCACATTCTTAGAGCCTTTGCAAATGCGGAAGTCCTTGTCTAGGAGACTGTGTGTGTGTGTGTGTGTGTGTGTGCGCGCGCGCATTCAAGTCCGACTCTTTGCAACACCATGGACTCCACAAGGCTCCTCTGTCCATGGAATTTTTCAGGCAAGAATACTGAACCAGGTTGCCATTTCCTCCTCCAGGGGATCTTCCCAATCCAGGGATCAAACCGACATTTCTTGTGCCTCCTGCATTGGCAGACATTCTTTACCACTAACACCACTACCTCGGAAGCCAAGAGGCATTCTACCACCAACTATTCTTTTAAAAATTACCTTCTTTAAACTTCAGACTGTCATTCAAAGTTATTTCTTCGGTATCTTAGATAGATCAGTAAAACTCAAACATTCAAAAAACTAAGATCATGGCATCTACTCCCATCACTTCATGGCAAATAGATGGGGAAACAATGGAGACAGTGACAGACTTTATTTTGAGGGGCTCCAAAATTACTGCAGATGGTGACTGCAGCCATGAAATTAAAAGACACTTGCTCCTTGGAAGAAAAGCTATGACCAATCTAGAATGCGTATTAAAAAGCAGAGATATTACTTTGCCAACAAAGCTCTGTCTAGTCAAAGCTACGGTTTTTCCAGTAGCCACGTACGGATGTGAGAGTTGGACTATAAAGAAAGCTGAGTGCCAAAGAACTGATGCATTTGAACTGTGGTGTTGGAGAAGACTCTTGAGAGTCCCTTGGACTGAAAGGAGATCCAACCAGTCCATCCTAAAGGAAATCAGTCCTGAATATTCATTGGAAGGACTGATGCTGAAGCTGAAGCTCCAATACTTTGGCTACCTGATGCGAAGAACTGACTCATTTGAAAAGACCCTGATGCTGGGAAAGATTGAAGGTGGGAGGTGAAGGGAACGACAGAGGATGAGATGGTTGGATGGCATCACCGACTCAATTGACATGCGTGTGAGCACGCTCCGGGAGTTGGTGATGGACAGGGAGGCCTGGCATGCTGCAGTCCATGGGGTTGCAAAGAGTCAGACACGACTGAGCGACTGAACCACCCCCTTAAATGCTCATCACATTCTACTTTTCCTTCATAGCATGTTTCCCTATTTGCACTTGTATACTTTAATGATTGTTATACTGTATGTTTCTCTCCTGTGCGTGCATGATCAGTCAAGTCCAACTCGTCGTGACCCTATGGACTGTAGCCCTCCAGACTCCTCTGTCTGTGGGATTTTCCTAGCAAGAATACTGGAATGGATTGCCATTTCCTTCTCCAGGGGATCGTCCTGACCCAGGGATCAAATCCGAGTCTCCTGTGTCTCCTGCCTCAGCCAAGTGGATTCTTTACCACTGAGCCACTTGGCAAGCCCCAAATTTCTCTGCCACTAGATTGCAAATTCCATGAAAGTGGGACAGTGTGTCCTCAGCACAAGCCTAACATTTGGAACAAAACTGGTATCTAATTGTAGAGTCTCTGGCCTCAAATAATTTACAATCTAGTTTCAAAACAAAAACAGTGATAAAATTTTACAATTTGGAGCATCAGTGCAGATAGATTATTTTTATTTGCGCAGAAAGTCTTACTGGAAGCCTTGAAGTCTGAATACATAGGAGTTAGTTTTTCCATCAGGATGCAAAATTAGCCAAGCTTGAGGCTGAAACACACTACACTGGCCATCCAGGGAGTACTCTGACCAGATTCCCAACACAATTCTCTTTTACAGTGGAAACCAACTGCATTCTCTTTTTTCACAGCACTTTTAGAAAACTTTTTTGGAGTATAGCTGATTTAAAATGTTGTGTTAGTTTCTGCTATACAGTAAAGTGAATCAGTTATGCATATGTTAAAATCCACTCTTTTTAAAATTCTTTTCCCATACAGGTCATTACAGAGTATTGAGTAAGAGTTTCCTGTATCATATGGTAGGTCCTTCCTAGTTATCTGTTTTATATATTCTACTTCACTTTTAAAAGATTCTCTTGTCTTCTGTACTTACTATTACAAAATAGTGATAAAACAAAGGACATTACCTTGTGCATAAGCCTGCTAGTTGCATGTATGACATTCCTAAGCCCTTCCATAATTATTTTTACCTTATACTACCACAGAGCTTCCACAAGTTTGAAGACTTCCAGTCAGAGGGCTCAGCTTAGAGAAAATACACTCTATCTGTTCAGAAACAGAAGGTACAGCCTGCTGTCCTCAGTTGATAATAAGGCTTGTTCCTTATTATCAACTTTCCAGGGATATTTCTTTTGCTATTGCTATATTCACTAGTTTGTTTTCTTTTTTAGATTCCACATATAAATGATAACACAGAGTATCTGTCTTTCTCAGTATGACTTATCTCACTAAACATATACCCTTCAAGGCCAGAGATGGTTCTGTTTCCTAGACTTGGGCAGAGTAACAGCTGTTCTAGAGCTATTACAGAAATATTTGGAGTCCTAGGTTCGTGGAATTTCCCCCCAAAGTTTACTTAATATTTGGCTGGGTAACCATAAAGCAGTGTATTGGTTTTTGCTTGATTGCACAGCTTCCAGTATCATCTAAGAGGTCTTTCGAAAACTCACCAATTGAATGTTAGGGTAAATACTTCCAAATCCATCAATGGATATTTAGGCTGCCTAAATATCTTGAAACTGTTGGTTTGACATCATGTATCAGCTGAGGAATAGTACAGACAGGTTTACAGTTAAAATGAGCTGAAGGAAATATTAAAAGTTATTTTATATATAAGGGCTTTCAGTAAGCATTTGTTGACTCAAATACAGTAAGACCCAGACTTTGCCCACCAGCTTCCACTACCTGGAAGGCATATTCCCCCTTTTTAGTTCAGTCGCTCAGCCGTGTCCGACTCTTTGCGACCCCATGGACTGCAGCACACCAGGCTTTCCTGTCCATCACCAACTCCAGGAGCTTGCTCAAACTCATCCAGTCAGTGATGCCATCCAACCATCTCACCCTCTGTTGTCCCCTTCTCCTCCCTCCTTCAATCTTTCCCAACATCAGGGTCTTTTCAAATGAGTCAGTTCTTCGCATCAAGTGGCCAAAGTATTGGAGTTTCAGCTTCAACATCAGTCCTTCCAGTTAATATTCTGGACTGATTTCCTTTTGGATGGACTTGATGGATATCCTTGAAGTTCAAGGGACTCTCAAGAGTCTTCTCAAACACCGCAGTTCAAAAGCATCAATTATTTGGCATTCGGCTTTCTTTTTAGTCCAACTCTCACATCCATACATGACTACTGGAAAAACCATAGCTTTGACTAGACGGACCTTTGTTGGCAAAGTATATCTCTGCTTTTTTTTTTTATCTCTGCTTTTTAATACGCTGTCTAGATTGGTCATAGCTTTTCTTCCAAGGAGCAAGCGTCTTTTAATTTCATGGGTGCAGTCATCGATTTTGGAGCTCCCCCAAATAAAGTCTGTCACTGTTTCCATTGATTCCTCATTTACTTGCTATGAAGTGATTGGACCGGATGCCGTTAACTGCTTCCTATTGACTGATTCCCTTTTATCCGATCTTCCCCCCATTTTCATCCCTGCGCAAAGCACTCCGAAACAGGTCCTACCAGAACCCAACCTCTGCCCGAGTTGGGAGCAAGGGCGGGTCCGCCGATCGGCAGCCTTCTCGCCCCTTCCAGGCCACTTCCCGCTTTCCCTAGCGGCCGCTCCCGCCCAGCTCCCTTTCCGTCCGAAGCCCCGCCCCGCCGCCCGTCACGTGACCGCATGGCGCGCTCCGCCTCCTGCCGCCGATTCACGTGATCGCGCCCGGGAGCAAACGCCTGACCCGAGCCCGTGCCCCTTCACTGTGCACCCTTCTCTTCCAGTTGCTCGTGGGGTTCTCGCTCTCCAGTCATCCGCGCGCCTCTCCACTGCGCCCGGGGTCCCCCGGGAGCCCTGTCCGCCATGCGGCTCCTGTCTCTGGCCACAGATAGGCCCCGGCGGGGCGGCCCCCGCCACCTGCCCTCCGGCAGCCCCGCGCCGCCGCCGCTGCTGCTGCTGCTGCTGGGTGTTTGCCTGGGGGCCTCCGGGGCGGCGAAGGGCTCTCGGAGGCCCAATGTGGTGCTGCTGCTCGCTGATGACCAGGACGAAGTGCTCGGCGGCATGGTAACTCTTCTCTTTATTTCTGCCCCGCCCCTCCACCTCCTGGGCTGACTCCGGGGTTTCCGGCCCTTCTTGCCCACCCGGACTCCCTCACCTCGCTGCACCTACCCCGAGCCGATTTGCTTTCGCCGCGCCAGGGCCATACGCCCGCTTGTGGAGGTGAGGGCTCCATTTCCTCTTTCTCTCGTGTCGGTTGTGGGTCCACACACAGAGCTTCTAGTCTGGACCTTACTGCTGAGGAGTTCGCTTCATGTCTCGAGACAGCCTTGTGGACGTCAGTCAGGGATGGGGTGAACCTGTAAGGAGCAGGTGATGGCTAAGAGTACGCAAGCCTTGATTGTCTTTTGGGCTAGATTAGAAATCCAGCCCCCTCTATGAGGACCTAGGCCACTTACGCATTTGACCCTGTGTACGATGTCTGTGCCTAGTATTTACAAAAGAAGTGCTGACATGAAGTGTTCTGGTAGGCAGGTTGTCGAACTCTTGAGGGAATGCGTTGCCTTACAAGAATCAGGAAGATTCAATTAGCCTAATTGAACACCTGGCTAATGCATTAAATACTGTCAGCACTCCGTTTTGTATCAGATGGCTGTTTTTCCGAGACTTCATTCTTTGCCAGGGTGAATTTTACTCCTGTATCTTCGCTTTCTCAAGTTTGTGACCTTCAAGAACATGTGCTCAACCCCCTACCTCCGGGAGGCCCAGAAAGTGGCTTGCCTCAGGCACATGAGTGGTTGTGCAGACAGAATCCTGACTAGTGCTCTGATCCTGGGTATGGCATTCCTCTTAAATCTTTTTAAAAACAAGTTCATTATTGCTTTCTTCCTTTCAGTTCTCTTTTTGCTTTGAAACACTTTAGGCACGAGGTTCCTAAGTTTTACTGTGTGGGAACACTCTAGCTCAGTGTCCTTCAGACTGCTGATTTCAGCCCATAAGTGAGTTATGAAATCAGTTCAGTGAGTAGCCACCAGCATTTTTACTTTCCCACGGAATAGAGTAGAATGGAAAATGTGTGATACATGGCAGTCAAGGTAAGCATATCCGTATGTAGATACGTTTTAGCTGTGTTCAAGAGTGTAAGAGTCTTTTCTAAATGATGTTTAAGATGCTTGCATTTTAACTCCATACTTGTGCCTGCCACGGGTACCTCATTGCCTTTTAGTTTCTGCCCGGTCCCACTGACTTTGAAGAATCTTGACTTAATGGCCTTCCTGGATTTTACTTGTTTTTTTCCACCGTTCCAGCTGCCACAGTTACCCTCCTAACGAAACTTTTTTTTTTCCTTTTTTTTTTTTGGCTGAACCCATGCCCCCTGCATTGGGAGCACAGAATCTAAGCCACTGGACCACCAAGGAGGTCCCACGAAACACATTTTCGTATGTATTTTTGAAGTGTTTTGTCCAGAAAAATCAAGCCATCTCCATCAAAACTTAATAATGCTTTAGTGACTTAATTAAAAGGCCAAGTCTTCATAGCTCAGTTGAAAACAAAATTCATCACTTTACTGTGAGGTATTCGGGATTCAGTTTCTTCAGCTCATAGACCACCAGTATGGTTTGTGTGTATCTAAGGTTTCTTCTCCTTAGTGTGTTAATGAGGTTTACTCCTTTAAAACAGTAGCAGATTCTTTCTGTAGATGTTTGTGCTGCAGAGAAGAGCCAAAATTAAGTGGAGGAAAAGTCAAATTTAATGCTGTCAGTTTTCTGGAGAATTCTGACTTCTGTAATCTTTTACAGAATATTCTACCACTAATTGTCAAACACGACTTGAAGGGGAAGAGCAAAGAAATAACGGCGTTTGAGAACCTACTTGGAGCTAGTTGGACTTCCCTGGTGTCTCAGATGGTAAAGAATTCTCCTGCAAGGCAGGAGACCTGGGTTTGATCCCTGGGTTGGGAAGATCCCCTGGAGAAGGGAAAGGCTACCCACTCCAGTATTCTGGTCTGGAGAATTCCGTGGACCGCATAGTCCATGGGGTCACAGAGAGTTGAACTTGACTGAGTCACTTTCACTTTCACTTTTGGAACTAGTCAAGAGTATGAAGTGTTTTATCCTGTTCTTCAGTCATCACAGGAATCCTCTGCTGTAGGTATTATATTTACCTTAAAAAATGAGAAACTTAAATTTAGAAGGGGCTAACTAACTTGGCCAAACTTCATATAGCAATGTGGTTGGTGCTTTTAGTCACTCAGTTGTGTCTGACTCTCTGTGACCCCTTGTACTGTAGCCTACCAGACTCCTCTGTCCCTGGGATTTCCCAGAAAAGAAGACTGGAGTGGATTGCTATTCCCTTCCCCAGGAGATCTCCCCAACCCAGAGATCGAGCACAGGTCTCCTGCCTTGCAGGCAGATTCTTCACCACTGAGCCACCAGGGAAACCTCACATAGCTATAATTTGGGGCAGATCCTGGCATCTTGTAATCTCAGAACCCTGAGATGATATGCTTTTTCTCCTATTCTAGAATACTGTGGTAATACTGATTTACTGGATATCATTCAACATACCCATATCTGCATAGTCACTTACACCATACATAGATCAGAGATTTTTTTCAGGTCACATTCAGGAACACAAGTGGGCTCATGCAACTCGTTAATTTACATGCAATACTTTGTGTATATTATTTTCATTTTTGTGAAGAGAGGGAAGTCTCTGACCCCCGTCCCCTCCTCCCCCCCCCATGAATTGCCACCTTAGTTGGCAAATAAACAGGTGTCAATCCCCCAGACTAACTCAGGTCAAAGGATTATAGCACTTGTATGGGTTGTGGTTTTGGAATCTTGCAGTCGTCTACCAAAAAAGTAGTAGTTTTTTATGTGGTAGCATCATCTTTAACAGTTTATTTTTCTTGGTGTAGATTTCATCTGTGGAACTCCATTTTTGGTTTTTGCCCAGGGAACTGTTCATCCATTTCTTGGTTTTATTCATTGCGATTGGTTTTGTTGTTGCAGTGTGATGAACATAGTGTTCTTCGGTGAAGCACAGGTTGCTCTTTTTAAAGACATTCTCTCTAGAAAAAGTGATGTTTGGGCAAAATCTCAAGGAAGTGAGGAAAGGAGACATAGGGGAAAAATGAATACATCATGTCCTTGCTTAAGGCAAAGTGATCTTTCATTTTTAAAAGTTAGCCATAGAACAATCAAAATGGTCTAAATGTTGTTTCAGAGCAGATGTGTTTGGGGCCCAGGAAAGTGAATGACTCCTTTAGCGTTTTTGGTGGTGGTTTTTTTTGCTTCAGATGAGTAAAGCAGCACCTTAGTCATATGCAAGTGTAAGATTGGTTGTTTCTTAAAGAATGTAGTTTGGCCTTAACCTGACCAGCCTCTATCTGTGTTTAGATCCTAAGGGCTGATTTTGTCATTCAGGTCAGCATGGGTTCACATACACATTTTTGGTACAAACAGGTTCCTGTTTGCGACTTGTTTGATTAAGCATAGAGCATGGTTATCCCTTGTACTACTGTTTAGCAGTATAAAGGTTATGGTTATTAATACACCTTTCCCACTTAAACTAAAGGGCTTCCCTGATAGCTCAGTTGGTAAAGAATCCGCCTGCAATGTAGGAGACCCCGGTTTGATCGCTGGGTCGGGAAGATCTGCTGGAGAAGGGATAGGCTACCCACTCCAATATTCCTGGACTTCCCTTGTGGCTTAGCTGGTAAAGAATCCGCCTGCAATGAGGGAGACCTGGGTTTGATCCCTGGTTTGGGAAGATCCCTTGAAGAAGGGAAAGGCTAGCCACTCCAGTATTCTGGCCTGGAAAATTCCATGGACTGTATAGTCCATGGGCTCTCAAAGAGATGGACATGACTGAGCGACTTTGATTAAACTAAAATCTGAATAACTCCAGCCCTGCATCGACATCTGGCTCCCGCCTCTCTTTGTCCTTTTACCGTGTGCTCCCTCTGCTTTCTTTGCTGCTTCTAGCACACTGGCCTTCGTTCCACTCTCATAGGTGTTGCTTTCTTTTTCTGGCAGCATTTTCCTTGTTCGCTCACCCTGAAAGCATCTTCTCCTGCTTTGCATGACTGACTCACCATGTCACTGTCAGAACTGAAGTTACATCCTGAAAGAGGCCTCTCCTCACCACCCAGCTAAAGTAGTTTTCCCCTTTTCTCTCATCAACCTCAAGTACGATGTCCAGGTTTATAGCACTCTTCACTGCCTGAAATAGTTGTCTGTTTCCCTGTTGTTTAAGTGCAAGGTTCGTGAGGGCAGGGACCGTCTATCTTTTGTCCACCACTGCCTAGATCAGTGCCTGGCACACTTTGTTTAGTAAAAGTGTTTTAATCAGACAATTCAGTGTTACTGTAACATCACTCTCCAGTAGCTTTGTATGAATACCAATTTGACTATTAAGTTCCCTTAATAATCAGCTCACACAGTCCTTTTCCTATTTACACTTTGCATTCCTCTTTCCCCTCCCTATGGATTCACTGCAAATGGCATATTTTCATTCTTTTTTTATAGTTGAGTATTATTCCATTGTATGTATGTACAATATCCTCTTTACCCATTCATCTGTCAGTGGACATTGAGGCTGTTTCCATGTCTTGGCTGTTGTAAGTAATGCTGCAGTGAACATGTAGGTACATGTATCTTTTGAAGTTAGCATTTTCATTTTCTTCAGATACTCAGAAGTGGAACTGCTGGATCATATGGTTAGTTGTATTGTTAATTTTTTGAGGAACCTCCATATGATTTTTCATACTGGCTGAACCGGTTTATATTTCCATCAACAATTGCATAAGAAAGAAAGGAAGTCAACTTGTTCAGTTGTGTCCAACTCTTTGCGACCCCATGGACTGTAGCCTGCCAGGCTCCTTCGTCCATAGAATTTTCCAAGCAAGGATACTGGAGTGGGTTGCCATTTCCTTCTCCAGGGGATCTTTCCGACCCAGGGATCAAACCCAGGTCCCCCGAGCTGCAGACAGACTCTTTACCGTCTTAAACCACCAGGGAAGCCTGGTAATGGTTCCCTATTTTCTATATTACCAACACATT